AAAAAAAAAAAAAAAAAAACAGTATTGACAATGATACCACATCCAAATGAACTATAATTAATCACAAACTTGGTTTTGAAAAAATTAAAATTTACAACATGGGACCAAAGGCTCCAATTCCAAATTTCAACCTTAACAACTAAAACAAGGCACAAAACAAGAAAACCATACACTATACAGGCAAAACCAAGAACAGGCTTGAGCATCCTCAACAGTCAACACAAAAAAACAACCTCCAAGTAATTGAGAGCTCAGAGGAAAGGAAAAAAAACTATCTAGATTAATTTTTTAGAAAAGAAAAGAAAAATAAATGAAAAAACCCGTCTCGGACCACATATAAGAGAAAACGAATAAAGGTTACTTGGCTAAAAAACATCCGGACAGCACCCCAAACAAGAAAAAACCTCTCCTTTGATGCTATCTTGATTTTCCCCCAAATGTATAAGTCTCTTTTGAAGCATGTGGCCATAATGGCGAAAGGGCAACGACTTTCCCTATGATGATCAAAGTCGGGGACACCAGCTCGTTCGATGCGATTTCATTCGCAAGGTCCTTTAAGTAAGCAAACACCTAAAATATGGTTCGGCAAACAAAAGTTAAAATGTTTTGACTATTAGGCAAGCATAGTTCTTTTAATCTTAATGTGTCGGTATATGTATTGTGTACGTGTGGGGTGAAAAACTTAAAAAACTAGTACAATTATGCTTCATCTTGTATGAAATTCAATTTACATAGTCCCATACAACACTTAAAATAAAGCATCTTCTTCGCAAATGTTCTATTTAGAGGGAAATTCAATTTACATATAGGCTATGTTTGGTATAAATCAGCTGATAAATGGTTTTCGAGCTTATAGGTTATAACTTATGACTTATAGCTAAAAAGCTAGCTTAGCCTGCGGGAAGGGCTAATTTGCAGACGAGGAATTATGACTTATAGCTAAAAAGCTAGCTTATATGATAAAAGTGTTCGCTAAAATTAGTTGATAAGCTAGCTAAAACAAAAATTTCAACAAGCTTATTTGAAAATCTACCATAAGAAACTTATAAGATAAGCTCGAACTTTTTTAAAAAAAAATTGTCTTACCGAACAAAGCTTATATGAATACAGAAAACTTACAAGCTAACAAAATAAGCTATAAACTAGCTTATTCGGTTACCAAACATAGCCTATAGTCCAATACAAACCATTTTTCTTTTCAAAATTAAGCTAAACATAGAGGGGTGGTTTTTGTAAGATCCTTTTTTGGGTTCATATTTGTCGAATAAAAATACAAATATATAAATAAACAAATAAATTGGCTTACAATGCGTTGTTGAGGAGTAGTTCCTCGCTCGACAGCCGCTGCTGGGGTGTCACCCGGCAAACCACAACTCATCAGCTTCAAGGAGAGAGAAGGTAATGTTGATAAACCCATATAGACGACAAGTGTAGAGTCGGGATCTGCCGCATGCTCGCCTACGAAAAGAGGCTCTGTACCTCCCTTTCTTGAATGGCCCGTCAGAAATCTTACACTGTTTGCAACCCCACGATGAGTCAGCGGGATTCCTAACTCGGCGGATATTCCGGAAGCAGCCGTTATGCCTGTCACAACTCACAACCGAGCAAATATATCAGATGATCATTTTTTCTTTGTAATTAATTATAAACAATTTTTTATAAACCTCATCAAATGAAGTCCCCCCAACTCTGAGCAAAAAAAGCACCGAGTAAATTAAAAGAATGTCTTATGGAACTCTGTAACAAAAATTATAAAGATATAAAACGAGAAAAGTGCGACTAATTTATTCGAAAAAACTAAAAATGTAACCTGGAATGACTTTGACTTCGATTCCTTGTTGCTGTAAAAAGTCCATCTCCTCTCCACCCCTTCCAAATACCTAAAAACCAACAGCTGTTCATCTCATCATCTATTTTGTAAATAATTCATTGTTATTATGTATTTTCATGACCTAAAAACATGAAGATCGTCAAACTTACCAAAGGATCCCCACCTTTAAGCCTTACAACACTTGCCCCAGCCTCGGCAAAGCTCAAAAGCAGTTCATGAATTTCCTCCTGCTCAAATATTCAACTATAAATATTTTTTTTCCAATGAGACAATAGAGCATTTTAAGTTCTTAATTGTTAAGCCGAGAAACCAAATACTTCAGGCAATCTTATACATTTTTCGGCATGTTAAAAAAAATTTGCCATTTAGAACCAACAAAACTTAGCTAACTTGTTATTATGTATTTTCATGACCTAAAACACAGTAAATAAACTTTGGCACATGCCGCACATCTGGACATCTTTCTTCACAGCCAAGCTCAACTTTTTCATATTACACAGCCATAGAACTATTTTAATTTCATCACTTACACAGCTCATCTTTCTGCATTGAACAATTTCATTGTTCTAAATACAAATAGAATAACCGAAAGTCATCACAAAACATATCAACACTTGCACCATCTCTACCCATTGAAATTTCCATTTCATACAAGCTAAAGTCATTTCACTATCATACATTTTGGCAGCAAAAATGATAGCTACTAAAGCACCCAGATTATACACGTAAACAATCAGCATATCATCAACAACACGAACAAGAAAGCAGTGAAGAGAGAGAGAGAGAGAGAGAGAGAGAGAGAGAGAGAGAGACAACAACCTGAGTTCTGCTATGGTACCCAGCCGTCTTCCCAACATACAGAAGCTTAGCATTGGTCCCAACCAAATCCAGCACGTCATTAGACACCAACCTATCATACAGCAAAAGATCAGCATTTTTTATCACTCTCAACGCCTTGAGGGTTAGCAATTCCGGGTCACCGGGCCCGGTCCCAACCAAGAACACGCTCCCCGGGCCCTTCCCGAGGGGCCCACCTCCATCCCTCCTCTTCTCCCTCAGCACATAGAGCAATTTCTTCAGCTCCGGAAGCTGCAGAGCTATGTCGTAGTCCCTGACGGCGTCCCGGTCAGGCGGCAGCGGGCAAGAGGACGAGGGCTGCTGCTGCTGGTCCTTGTACGCCCAGCTGTCCCTGTGGTACCTCTCGGCCGAGTGCTTCTCCGTGAACGGCGATTTTGAAGCGCAGCTGACGCTGACGGCGGAAACTGGTTTGAGGCTAAAACACTTGGCTCCCTTAGTGGATTGGAAATGTGGGGATGTTGTAGAAGAAGAGGAAGATGGGAGCCGGCTCAATTGGGCCATGCTGAAATTTTGCCAAATTTATTTACACTTTCGATTTTGAAGAGAAGGCAATAATCTTGCACTTGCAGCTGCTAAAGATTGCGCCTTTATTTATATACTCTGTGTGTGTGTGTGTGTGTGTGTGTGTCTGTGTCAATCGGCGTATAGCTGTGATGAGGGGAAAACGCAGAAGGGCTGTTCAGTAAACTCTGTGTCTCTTTCTCTCTCACACATACACACACAGAGACAGAGCTTTACGGGGTGTGGAGAAGGCAAACTGCAAATGCAGTTCTAGCTTTTGGGATGCTGATAAAGACGGGGACTTTTTCTTCTAGTGACCTTAGGTGGACTTGCGCAATTACAACTAACATTAGGGGTCAATTTGAAAAATATATAAATATATTTTGGGCCTTTGGCGGCTATCAATTGAAAGTTTTGGATATTGGGCCAACCAGTTGTGGGCTTTCGGATTGACCTTAAAACAGGGCTTATCATAAATGCGTACAACTTACGAGAGCTGCTGGCACAACATTCGATTTTCTTGCAAAAGGTGAAACCTTTGAACAGAAAACTCTCAACATATCGCCCAAGTTTTTGTCCAAGAAAATGCCGATGAAGGTTGTTGATGCGACTGTGGAGAACTTTCAAGACGTGTTTGAGGTATTTAAGAGTGAAGCCCCAAATAACAAGGCGAATCTCATACTTTTCTTGGCTGATAAAGATCCTTCGACCAATCTCAGTTGGTGCCCTGGTACGCATTTACTCCTCACTGCGTGTTTTTTTTTTTTATGTATGTTCTGCAAGTGGGTCTGTTTGATTCGGTTTGGTAACTTTTAGATGTTAAAACAGTGTGGATTTGGGGTGAAGCCCTTCTGAAAGATTGAGGTGAAAGAATGGAAAATTTTGAGTGATGAGATTTAGTAGTTTTATGTTCTCTTAATTTCTGTCGTTCTCTAGTGATTAGACTTATCAGTCCATTATGCGGAACTAGGGCTGAAATCAAGCCGAACTGAGTCGAGCATTGGTCTTATCGAGCAGGATTGAGTTTTTTTTAGCTGCTCCAGCTTGATTTTTGAGGCTCGAGCTCGATAAAAAATTCCAATAGCTCAAGCTCGACTCGAAAAGTTTTAAGTGGAAATTTAAATTACGATTAAGCACCTATGCTAATATATATATATAATAAGGGGTATTTTAGTAATTTAACGTGTATCTCGAGCTGCACAACAAGGCAAAATATGGGCTCGACTCGAGTTCGAGTTTGACCCGGGCTTTGACTCGAGCGCTCGCGAGCGGCTCGATTCGGTTGCAGCCCTATGTGGAACTATTGTGTTTTCTTGTTATCTAGTTTTTTCATTATTGATATGATGATATTAAGTCAAATTTAACTTTTTTTTTTATCTGTAATTGTTTTTTTTAATCTTGTAAATTCATTTGTTGTGGCCTGTGGGTGTGTGACTATGAAGACTAAAATCTGATATATTATATATAAAGTTTATGGATCTCACTTTTTTTTTTATTGCTTTTGAGTTTGTGATATGGACATTCAAGAATCAATCTTTATTTCCATTTTTCACCAGGGCTTGATCTCATTTTGCATTGCTGCTTGTAACATACTTCATTCAGCTAAAATTTCGAATTTTGTTAATCAATTTCGGTTATATGACCCGTTCGGATGAAGTTTCACATTATCATTGTAATTCCCAAATACTCATTGTAATACATTTGCCGCATATGTTAATTTAAAAATTGTATCTTTACCTGATCAGTAAGCGTTAAACGAAGTGAGTAGTGAATAGTGTACGTTATGTAGGGATTTCGATCATATGTGAAAATGACATTCTTCCATCTAAAAGCACACAATCACATTTTGGTAGTATTTGCTCTCTACTTGTTTCTTTTCCCAAAATCTTTGTTGCTTTTTTTTTTTGAGTATCAATATCTGTGAAGGAACTTCCTCTCCTTACGACATTCTCTCCGGACATTTTTTATTTACGAACATTATTGTCCTACTTCAGATTGTGTAAGAGCCGAACCAGTGATATACAATAAACTCGAAGCTTGGCCTGAAAATGTGGCTCTTCTGAGGGCATATGTTGGGGATAGGCCCACTTGGAGAAACCCGATGCACCCTTTGAGGATAGACTCGATTTTCAAGCTTAGAGGGGTCCCGACTTTGGTTCGATGGGAAAACGGAGGCATCAAAGGCCGTCTTGAGGATAATGAAGCCCATCTGGAGCACAAAATCAACACCCTTCTTTCTGAAAATTAAATATATTGTTTTATTATTATTATATTTATTTTGGGGGTTTTTGAAGACAATGTGTGTGCTTGTGCTAATAAAGTTGGAACCTTTCTCAGTGAGGTACTGTTGGTATTAGATATATGTAGTTTAGATCAGTCTTGAAAGATGATGGCTTTTCTTGTTTTTCTTTTTCCTTTTCCTCTTTTTCTATCCTTTTTTTTATTCATTTGATATT